TTCTATGGAGAGCAAACTTAAATGTATTTAATATTTCTTAATGTCATGTACACCTTTGTATGTATTTATGTCCATAATATCTTACATATTTATGTAAATATGTGTGTTGATATTTACATTAATCCATACATACTCTCACACACACATCTTCCAGAATGTTCCTACCTCTCACTCCCCCACCACCATGTCTCCTCTCATTTCCTGCCTGGATTTCTTTGGGAGCCTCATGGCCCACCTTCCTTACTTCTCACAGCAGCCAGAATGGTTCTGTCAAAACCTGAGTCAGAGGGATTCCTAACGGGGGGGGGGGGGGGGGAGGCCTGGCGGGTCTCCTGGCCCTTGCCGGCCACCTTCCTGGGCTGCAGCCACGTGGAAGAAACGGGTGCCATTTGCAGTGCCCTCTCGCTGGATGCTTTTCCTCCCATATGCAAATGGATCTCTCCCAGCCTCCCTCCCTCTCCCTGGGCCTCTATTCTCATCCTTCTCATGGGGGAGGATCTCCCAGACCGTCCTGGCCGCCTCTGGAGCACACTTGGGCCACCTGACACGCCCTGTGCTGCTGCTTCATGTATTCTGTCCCCCACTAGAAGTAACCTTGCTTTGTTCATTGTGGATCCCAGCACCTAGAACAGTGTCTTCCATCTAGCAAGGTCTCAGTCAGTTCTTGTTGAATGAGTGAGTGGATGGAGCTCCGATTCACAGAGGGGCAACTGAGATGTGGCCCAAGAGACAACAGCAGAAGTCAGGGTCACAGTGGGACTCCAAGACAGGGCTGGTTTTACTGGGGAGTCCCTGCTGCAAGCCCTGGGCTGCATGTTCTGCCCACATCCCTAAGAATGCAGGGGAAGGAACCCTGAGCACAGATGCATGGAGGACCCTGCTCGAGGGCACAGGAGCTAAGGTGGATACAGTTGGCCTCTGGCTTCGGTGAGCAGGTGGACACATAGCTGCGCAGGCTGCCGTCCTCTGTTCTTTGAGAAGCAGGTGGAAGTCTTTCTCCTGAGAGGGGAGTCTGCTGAAGAGTCAGCAGAAATCTTCTGTCTGTCCCAGGATCACTCTCAGAGCTGGACTGGCCACCGACCCTTTCCCATCTCCCTCCCATTGGCTCCTCTGACCCAGCCTGGCAGGCCAGGGCCAGGAGAAGATCCCCAGGAATAGAGTACCCTCCTCTCTCTCTAGGTCAATGAAGGGTTATGACTGGCCCAAGAGGCCCAGCCCAGGTAGAAGTGGTGGGCCCCTTGCCAGGCTGTAGGTGCTGCCTCTCAGGCCCCTGCAGGTCCCCAGCCCCTCTCCTGGGAGAGCCAAGGGTCAGGAGAATCCTGCTGGGCCCTTCACCTGCCCCAGTCCTAATCAGCTTCTCCAGGGATCAGATACCAATCTCAGGTTCTTGTCACTTTTTTAAATTTAAATTTCTTTGTTCCCCATTGGGAAATAAATGTATGCTTATTATAGAACTTGTGGGAAACAAAGAGTAGAAGAAAGAAGAGTAAATCAATGAGAAATTGCTTTTCCTGGTGTGATGTTCACTTTGGGTCCTCTGGTGTAGGCCTGGGGCTGGGCAAGGGTTCATAGATCTTCTGGTCTGGGCAGCCAATGGGTCATAGGGGCCACCATGGCTGACTTGGGCCTTCCTCCCCACGTGGGTTTCAGGAAAAGCCGTGTGGCCCCCGCAGTCTTGTCCATAGTGATGTAGAGGACGAGCTGACGAGAGTTGCTATATTTAATTTGGGTGTCTGCGTCACCTCTGACCACACAGCAGCCGAGGCAGTGCACTGGGCTGGAGGCGTTTCTGAGCTACACTGAGAGAGAACCACTTTCCACAAGAAAAGGCCCCGGGGAAGGGAAGGGAGAGAGCGCAACAGAAAGTGAGGTCGTAAGTAGAAAATTGCTTCTGGGATTTCAAATGGCTTCGTCATGGGGCCCTCCCTGGCTGCTGAGAAATCAGTTGATCTGGGAAAGTTCGTTGCAAACCATGTACCCTGTCGCTTTTGGGTGGAGCTGAGAAATGAATGAAGATAATGATGCCTCATGACTTTTATTTTTCAGGGTAGAGAGGGCATTGTGTGGGAGGCCGACTGTGGACATACGCCTTGTCCTGGCCAGCCTGGATCTCCGGGAGCTTGACATGGCCCTAGTGTCCAGGCTGGGCATACCTCCTGGAGCACCGTCAGCCTCCACCGATGGCCATCCCAGAAGGGGGCCAGGCTGAGGGAGGAGCAGGGTTTGGGTTTGTTACAACTGACCGGCTCACTGACTGGAGAGACTGAGCCGAAGACACCTCCCCATTGACCATAATGAAAACGTGATAAGCTGATAGACTGATAACCCCAGCCTTCAGGCTGATCCTCTGCCACAGGACACAGACGCTGGCCTAGTCCCCTGGTCCTGCTCCTCCTCATCCTGAGCCTGCAGGGGCCAGCCTCAGAGAAACCCCTGAGGTGACTTGCAGTGTTTTCTGACACCTCATCTGAGCAGCAAACAGAGGTGTGTTTCGTTTCACAGGAAACTCACGCTCGTGTCTCGCTTCTCACTTGAGCCCTGGCCCCTCTTCCAGTGAAACCTCCCCGACCTAGGGTTCCAGGTGGCACCAAGGGGCTCCCCACCCTGGGCCCCCAGCTGCCATTTGCCTCCCACTCATAACTACCCTTATCTCTTCTCAACCCTTCTCTCCTGGTCCTGTTAAGGATTTGCCCTGTCTATGGAAGAGGCCAGGCCCTATCCTGAAAACTCAGCAAATACCCAGGGGTCGGTCCCCAGGCCACGATGCTCCCAGCCACTGTGGCTGACACCTACCTTTTTTTTCTATTTCTTTTCTTTCTCATTCCTGACCGGGCCACCTCACTATTGTCACCAGCAGCAGCTTGGTTCTGTGCCTCTGAAAGGCATCCCTCTTCCCTGGAAGGCCCTATACCTACTCCGGCCCACTGCACACCACTGGGAACCCACAGGTTCCCCTGTTTGGGGGACAAGTCTCCTGAGACTGGCAGGAGCTTTGGCAGGGCTGAGGATGTGGCAAGCTGTGGACCCCTAGTGGCAGGGCCTGGCACAGCCCATCTGCTCTGTGCACCAGCCCCCAATACCGCCTGAATGAGTGGGTGGCTTGGAATGCATCCTGGGAAAAAAATCCTCAGGGACCCAAATGCCAGTCTTCGTTCTTGAGGGATTCCCATGAATTTCATTGGATGAGTCTCCATCTTTTTGAACAGACAGGCCAAATAATTGGTCATGGAGAGGGGCGGAAAAGATAAGTTTGAAATTCATGCTACTGGAGAATGGATCACTAAATTCAGTTTAAGAGAGAAAAAACATTACTTTTTCATAAATATTCTTGGTCTGAAAGTCCCAGACTGTGGATGGAGAGGGACGCTAAGAGCCTGGCTTACCCACTCCACTGTGTGGTGCTTTCCAGCCTCCTCTACCTCCCAGGAAGCAGTGAAGCCTCACGTCCAGAGGGCAGGGGGGCCTCCCAAGGGAGAGCAGCCTCCCCGTTTTTAAGTTCTCTGTGGTGCCAAGCCTCAGGCCATGTGATGCCTTGTCCTCAGCAGCCCAGGTGGCTTATACCCGTGGGGTCACAGGTGGTCCTCAGCCAATGTAATGGGACTTAGGTCCTGTGACCTCCTTGGCACTCCAGAGAGCCAGTCCCAGCCCTGTCCACACAGTCCTGTGTCCCCTCCCCAGGCCTTCTCCCCCTGGCTGAGCATCCCCAGCTCCCAGCCCAGTTCCACTCCTTCTTCCCTCTCCTTTCCCCGCAGCAGTGAGGTAAGGAATGGAAGGGCTGGTTCCTGAGTACTCAGCTGCAGCCATCCTTTTGCTGGGAGACACACCACCCTAGGGTGCCTGCCTGCCAGTGTGAGACTGCCCTGGTAACCCTCCACCCATGCTGCAAAGCATCTCGTCCTCTGGAGCCACCCTCTGCTCTGGGCACCTCCCAGAGGGGCTGAGAGGCAAGGCTTCAGCTGAGGGCTGTTGCTTCCAGACTCCAGGGACGCTGGGCCCACAGGAGAGTAAAAGAGACCTGCTCTGCGGAGTGGGGCAGCTGGGGCCCTTGCACCCATTCTGGTCCATCCTGGTCCAGAGGCTGCGAGCGGATGCCTCTGTTCACAGAGGGGGTGGAGAGCACTTCCTCCTGAGTGGTGTCCAGACATGGAAGGGGCTGTCTCAGGAAGCAGACAGTGTACTCCCTGTCAATGGGGGTGCCCAGCAGGCTGATGACAGGGAAATAGTGCCCTCAGACCGATGGCACTCAGGCAGGCGGAGCCATTGAGAACATGGGCTTTGGACTTGGAGTGAACTTGGGTTCAAACTCTGGCTTTGATCCCTAGTGACCTTGGGTGAGCCACCTACTCTCCTGAGCTTCAGAGTCCTCCTCTGCCCTTTAGGGTGATATGAGAGTGTGTGGGCTGTGCCAACACAGCTGGACACAGCTGGAGTCGTGGTAGTGATTCATCTTGGAGGTCTTCCACCCATTCCACACCCTCCTTGAACCTTGACATGCCAGCTCCAGCTTCCTCTCTGCACTGTGGGTAGCCCCCAACCCCAAGGCCATGTGCCTCCAATCCCAAGGGTTTGCTTACTCTTTCCAGCTCAGGTCTCGCACCTCACTCCCCTTCCTCCCACCAGCCTGCCTCTCACAGAGCTCCTCGAAGTTCTGTAACCAGACAGGTGTCCCCAGAGGCCAAAAAAGGGCAAACATCATCAGGCTTATCTGTCACCATCTTTATTTCTGGCTTCCAGTTTGGCACAATGAAAGAGCTTGTTCAGTGACCCCCCTCCCCCAGTCCACACACATGCGGCCTTCATTGTTGTAGGCCTCCTTTCCATATATTATTAACTCTTTGCTAACATATTTAATACTTAACTTTAAATATGAGGACAAAATAATAAATTACTCCTTGGCCCCAGAGCCCCAGTGAGGTAGCAGGATTGTGTGCACAGTACTTGTTACTAGGGACCCCACCAATGCCCACTGCTTTCCGCTAGAGCCCCAAGTCATAGGCACTCAGGCAGCGAAAGCCTCCCCCACCCCAACACTAACAGACACTCACTTAAATAACACACAATAATAAATAAGACTAAGAAGAAATGGGCCTGAGCTGTCTCTGCTTCAGTCAGTCACCCTGTGTGAAGCAGGTCCCTGTCTGGCAAGAACAGCACCCACTGGAATGCTACCCCTAGGGAGGGGTCCAGGTGCAGGGAAGTGTCTTCACTCCGGGTCCCTTGAGCTCGGAGCCCTGGACAAAGGAGGCCACTAGGCTGAGCCCCAGCCACCCAGGCAAGGGTTGGTACAGCTGAAGGCAGGTGGCACAGGCTGAGGTCTAAGCTAAGGCAATCTTTCCCTTCCCCCCTCCTCCCCATGTCCCCCACAGTTTCTGACATTGGTAAGAAAATGAATCTGCAACTTCAATAATCAGGGCCCATTTCTGCATATCTCATGCTTCAGGGGAGCTTTCCATGGCGAAGAAGACACCGTAAATGACTGAGCAGTTTCTTCACAAACTGGCCCACTTCAATTTTGGTGTCCGGGATGGGCATGGTGGAAGCCTGCTGCAGGACAGAGAAGCCAGCGCATTAGTGGATGTCATGGGCAAGGACAACCAGGGGCTTTCCAGGGATTGTCTTGTTTAATCCTCACAAAAGTCCCCCGAGGTAGTACTGCCATTATCTGTACTTTACAGAAGTGGAAACTGAGGCTCAAGCAGGAGACCTTGAGCCCAAGGCCTGTCAATCCCAAAGGCCATGTTCCTATTGCCATCGTGGACCCACTCCTGGGTGGACACACACTTTAGGTACTCAGCCTTGTTCCCTGGGAGCTCCCTGGGACCCAGGAGTGGGTGTGGGAGGGGCCTGGGGTGTGGGGGGAGCCTTACCCCAGCAGTGTTCTTGTGTGTGCAGAGGCCACTCAGCATTCTCTGGGTCTTCTGGATGGCACTGCAGTTGGAGACCTTGATCAGGGAGTCCAGGGCTGCACAGTACTGTGGGAGAAGACCACAGGTGTCAGGCCTTGTGGGGGGAGGCTATGTGTTTATAGGAAGAGGGCCTGAGAGCCTGGCAGAGGTGGGTCTGGGTTGGGGGGAAGAGCCCCAGTGGTAAGGAAGAGAGGATAGCTCTTGAAGCTCATTGGGAAAGCCCCAGAGTGTGAGTGAGGCTCAGAGAACACAATCCCAAGGCCTATAGCTGCTGCCACTTCCCCACCAGTAGCCAAAGGACCTTACCTCGCCAGCTGTCAGGTTGACGCTCCACACCATGCTGCCATTGCAGAGGGGAGCCTGAGGGAGCAAAGTGACAGTGAGCAGATGGCTGGTAGGGCCCCAGCCAGCCCGGGGCCAGGTCCCCACCAGGATAGTCCCCACTAGTACCCCTGGTATGGCACCATCAGGCCTGGCAACCCCTCAGCACTCCTGAGCTTCATTTTCTGCTCTGCATAAGGGGCTGGGGACTCATTATAGAGGGTCCTGGAGCTGAGGGAGAAAAACTGATAAGTGATAAGCTTTATTTAAAGCTCGCCACACCTAGGGTAGAGGACCTGCAGAGAAGGGCCCTGAGCCGGGTTGGGTGAGGGAGGTGGTGGCTCAGTCTGCGGTTGATCAGGACAATTCAGATGGGGGGCAGTGGGGTCTGGGGAATTAGGTACCTGTGCTCTGCAGTAGGGGTACTACAGTTAGGAACCCTCTGGTGTCCACCAGGCCTGGTTTGAACCTGGCCTCCGTCAATTAACCTCACTGAATTTTAGCAAAATGGGGTCATGGCGCCTGCCTCTGGAGGTGTGGCCAGCAATACAATGACATGTTAAACCGCCAGCAGCGGGCCTGGTGTGAGCCAACGCCAGTGAGGAGAGGGGCCAACTCTGTGAGGACTCCTCCCACAGAGCGGGCTTCACCAACCGCTAACAATGATGGCTGGCTTACTGTGTTCAAAACCCAGCTGGCAAATTCCAAATGGTTCTAGGAGGACCTTGACCCTTCTCTGCTAACAACTGGCTGAAAAGGAGCTGTCAGTGGTAAGGCCAGACCAGGGGGCAGCTGGTCCCTAGGAGCTCTGCTGGACTCCTTCAGAGGTCATATTGCTGCACCCCCCCACACACACCCCTTATGGCCTGGCCTGGCCCTTCGTCTGCGGGGCTTTTCTTCACCCACAGGTATACAGGTCCAGGCCCAATCTGCTCATGACCTCTTCCTAATAGCGCCCACCTGGCCCCTCAGAGCCTTGCCTGGCCAGTCCATACTCACCTTCTGGTCCTGCGTGATGTTGACCAGCTCCTCAATGAGCTCCCTGAAGGCTGGGGATGGAGGAGGCACTGGGCCTGGGGCAGCGAGGCCACCAAGGCAGGCAAGGGTGAGGACCACAGTCAACCAGAGCGCCATGAGACCCAAAGCCAGCACAGAACAGAGGAACAGACGTGTCATGTGCTGGTCAAAGCTGAGCGGCTTGTGGCCTTTGCTTCTTGTGGCAGCTTTTTATAGGCCCAAATGGTGACGCCTCATACCCTGGCCTCCGCTTTGTCGGGCACTATCTAGAAACCACATCTTTACTCATCTTGATTTTACTTTGTGGAAAATCCAGCATCGTATAAAGGAAAGAGCTTGATTTCTAGTGGATTTATCAAGAAGGATCTAGTACAGAGTTTCCAAGGTTGGAATGGCTGAATCCCAGGTGTTGGTGAGAGGGCCCTGAGGGTGGCCGGCATCAGCAGTGCAGCAGTTCCTCCTGGTGACCATCCTGAGCTCCTGGACAGCCAACTCAATTCTGAACTCCTGTCCTCAGACCCCTCTGGCTCACCAGAAGTGTAGGGCAGTCCAAGTGGCACTGGGTCTGTGACAGGTCTATGAGCTATGGGAATTTGGGACTTGTTTTTCTTAAATTACCAAAGTAATGCTTGATTTTCAATACAAAATTCAACAAGGACAAAAGAAGAGACTGAAGTTGGGTTTTTGAGTCCCACATGATTCCTCCTTGGCCCCACCACAGGAAGGATTCAAAAAGATCAGACTCCCAGGTCTTCACTGAAAGAGCCAACCAGGGTTAAGTTCCTCTTGGGACTTTTAATTTTTTAAAGATGCTTTGGTGGTAACTCTGGGTATGAGCAGCCTGAACTCTGGGGCTCACCATGGCCTTCAGTCCCTTAGTGCCCTAGCCCCAGCCCAGGTCCCGGTGTGTAACTGTTCCCAGAGCCAAATGAGACTGGGTGGGGGCACCACCTCTGCCCACCAGTCTATGTAGGAGCAGCCCCTGCCGTGGAGGGCCTCCCGTTTCCCTTTTGCAGAATAAGTGCTGTGGAGGGAGCTCCTGGGCCTGTCCTCTGTAAGCAGCACCCTTGCAGGGACGCTGGCCTGTAGCCTTTTTCCTGCTCTTCCCTCATTTCCCTAGAATTCCTCCAGAAACCCCCACAGCACAGGCTACAGTATCTGCTTATTGAATGCTAATGTGAAGAGCACTCACTCCCTTACCCACTTCCTCTCCTAGGCCAGCACCTGCCACTCCAGGTCCCCTCTTGGTCTGCTCAGGCTCCCTTTGTCCCCTCCTCTGTGGGGTTCAACTTTACAAATGTCTTCCCGGGAATGCCAGACCCTTCACTCTTTTAGATGCCTCCCAGCCTTGCTTTGCTCCTCTTCCCGCTGGGAACACAATTCCCAGTCTTTGGCCTACACTCAAAGCTTTGCAGCCCAACTACAGGCCCTGACCTGGGAGCCCGCCCCTGCCCAGAGAGGCCTTGCAGAGCCTGGCGTCATTTTCCGCATCTGTAGCAAAGGGCCAATGTCATCTCCTTTGGGGTCTCCGTGGTGGGGGAATGATCGGGAAAACACCTTGGGCTGTGCAAGTCCCCAGATCACCGCGCATGCATGAGTCAACGTGCCCCTACCCCTCCTGGCCAGCAGAAGGCATGCGGACAGCGGTGGGCAGGCGCCCCGGCGCGTGGGAGAAGGCGCGCTGGCGCGGCGATGGCCCGCGGAGATAGGGGAACGGCCTTATGTAACGCGAGATGGGGCAGATAAGCGGGATCCGAGTGGCACGGCCCTCCCCCGCGGCCTCCGGAGGTGGCCGGTGCGGGAAGGAGGGCTGAGGGCGCAGAGCGGCCGGGAAGCGAGGGGGAGGCAAAGGTGGAAGTGAGCGGTGCAGCGCCTGCCCTGCGCGCCCTCGGACGCCCAGAGCGCGGTGCGCACAAGCCAGGGAGCGCTCCGGCTGCAGCTCTCTCTCTCTTCTTTTTGCGGTCCTGAGTACTGGGAATTGAATCCCGGGCCTCCATGCTAGGCAAGTGCTTTCCCACTGAGCTACATCCCCAGTCCTTTTGCTTCCTCCAGAGCAAATGGCAGGCACACCTTCTGCTCATTATAGAAAGTTTAGGTTTCCTAAGCTAGGACTTCCTCTCCTGCCATGCAACCCACTGGGTGCCCTCTGGTCCTATCTGCACCACCCTGTGAGCATTGGGATTCTGGGAACAAAAATGTTGATATTCTACTGCTTCTGTGCATAATAAATGTCTTTGTCTCTGAGCCAAGAACCCTGTGTCTACTGCCAGCATCTATGAAACTGTGACATGTTGACTTGAAAGCTTGTAAATAGGGAAAAATCTGAAATCCTTCCGTTTTTGACAAGTTGTTTTGGTTTTTACATCCCTCCTGTTTCTAAGTTAAACATGCTGCTATTTCTTGATGTTCAGGTGTAGGCATTGTTGTCTAGGATAGATGTTTCTTCTTCCCTCCTTCCATGATTTCTTTTCCTCTTGCTACCAATGTAGGATCATAATTTGGGTCAGTCAAAAACCTTGTTTCTGTTTAAACAATTATTCTAATATATTCACAGCACACAGGTGGGTAAGGGAGTGAGTGCTCTCCTGAAACCATTTCCCCACTGGAGTTGTCTTGTTTTCCCATTTGTTTAGTTTTCTATGTTCTCAGTGACTTAACCCTAAATTCTTGGTCACTTATATAAATTTCCTCTCAAGAGATTTGATAAAATCCGTTGTTCTTAAGAGTTTTATCTTCCAGAGACAATTTTGTTTCAACCCTCTTCTATACTAGGGATTGAACCCAGAGTTTCCCACATGTTAGGCAAGCAATATGAGCTATACACCCCCCTAGTATCTTTTTTTTTTTTTTTTTCATTTTTAGTGAGACCCTGTCCTATTAAGTCGCCCCTTGTCATTTGATCCTCCTGCTTTAGCCCTGGTAGAAGCTGGAATTACAGATGTGCACCACAGCACCCAACTCATTCTGAATCTAAATCTTTTCTCACCCTTTCTCTGGAAATGTGTAGGAATATTCTTGGTCCTTGTGCTCCAAATGTCACAGTGATGTACTTTGGAATGGTTCTGTCTTCATCTTGTGTGCCAGACACATGGAGGGCCTTTTCAAACAGAAAGCATGTCATTAAGTTTAGGGAACTTTTCTTTCTTACAAAACAAAACAAAAGCTTGGCTATTTTATGTTAGTTCTTATTTGTGGTATTCCATTCACATGATACAAAAATCAAAACTATGTATATTTGAATGGAGCATCTCTACTCCCCCCCTGCAAATGACTAATTTTACTGTGTTTTTGTGTAACTTATTGGGGCTTCTGGAAATATAAGCAACTTATTTTGTCTGCATATGTGAGATGACATTTTGCACCTTGCTTTTTCTTACTTTGTAAGAAATTATTTTTGTATCCATAGTGATAGAACTTGGGTCAGTTTTTGACTTTTTCCTCTCTCTTATTAGACCCACCAGTTAAAATATTGTTATTATAATTCTAGTTTACATATTTCCTAGTTTTTATATTTTATAGTCTAGTTTTTTTTTCTTTTCTCTACTTTCCATTTAAAATTTCCTCTCCTCTTCTATATTTTCATAGCTTTATCTTTCATCCCAGGGGTATTTTATTCTTATAGGAACATGTGTATGTCCTCATAGCACCACATTCTTGTTTAACGGGGTATCTTCTCATAGCAATATAAGAATTTTACTGGTAGTGGTTTTTATTTAGTCTTTATTTTCTCCAAATTCTCCCTCCTGCCCCATGCTAGGCAAGCAAGTTGCTCTGCCACGGAGCCAAGTCACTAGCCTTTTCTGCCTGTTTTTTTTCTCTTTCATGTATGGACTTTCCTTGGGTGTCAGGTGACCCTGCATTGTCTGTCCACATGAGGGTGTGGATGTGGTTGGGTGTTCACTCTAGGGCCACAGGGGACCTGCCCTACCAGTATATTAAGTCCTTTTTTCCTGCAGAGAAAGTAGCTTCCCCAGCAAAGATTCTCCCTGACTCTGCCTGCTGCCAGCACTCTGGAAGCCACAGGTGGGCAGAGGGCACGGCTGGGCTGAGGGTCTCCATGTATGTTAACTGTTGACTTGGTGCCCCAGTCTGAGCAGTCAGGCTGCCCGCAGGTGTGCATTGTGTTTCTTGGTCCAGGTACCAGGAAGGGCTTCTGTATGCTGGAGGGGGCTCAGCTGACTTTGAGGAGTAGGAATGATCTGACTGCTGCTTAGAGTTTCAACTCCCTCTCCGTAGTCGCAGCCCTCCCCTTTCAGAGGTACTTGGTCTTCTGCCCGTTCCTGAGCACTGGGGATTTTGCACAGCAGAGTAGGTCTCAGGTTCCCTGTGACGGCACAGTTCTGTTGTCCTGGGTCAGTAAGTGCCTGCCCACTGGCCCTCGCTCTCCACCTTATAAATTGCTAGTGTGGTTGTTCCCTCTCCCAGTCCGGTGCTATTAAAAATTGAAAAATTCAGTATTGTTATTTTCCTGGGTTATCCAGGCAGTAGTGTGTATTCATTCCATTGTTTCCACTTGGAATTTATGTTTTTAATGTAGAAAGTTTTAAAAAGAGACAAGCAGTAAGAAGCCAACACGAATCTTGCACCCTTTTAACTTGGACTCTGTAGTTATTACCAGTCCTTCTGCTGCACACATTTGTATTTTGTTGCAAAACTGGAATAATTTATTGAATAATTTTTTTGTCTCTTTTCTCTAATGTCAGTATTCTGCATTTAAAAAAGATTTTGCAAAATATGTTCTTGTGTAAAATGCAGAGACAAAAGTAAATAAAAAGCCCCCATAATCCCAGCACTCAAAGATAATCATCACTGTAATATTTTAGTAGCGGTCACTCTAGTATTCTAGTAGATAGATGTGTGAAGAGAAAACGGAAACCTTTGCCTTTGTGAATATCTAGTTAGGGTGGAGCACACCTGTAATCCCAGCAACTTTGGAGGCTGAGGCAAGAGGATAGTAAATTCAAGACCAGTCTGGGCAATTTAGCAAGATCTTGTGTACCCCCTGTGGGGTGAAGATGGGGGATGCAGCTCAGTGGAACAATTCAGTCTGGTATGGAAGACATATTTGAAACAAATAATTACAAGAAATTCTTACAACAATTACAAGTTCATTTATTTTTTAAGTAAAT